GTAATTTTTATTTATCGTACGATAAGTCAATTAATTGCTTATCGCGACAGGCAGACAATAAAACAGTGGAAACAAACATGTGTTTGACTTTCAATAGTGAATGAAACTGTGTGTCCTTTATAGTCTGTGTCCAATATTATGTATTTGTATATATTGTATGTATATCCTATATATATGCTAAGGTCCTGCTACTGACACGCTAGCAGTCATTTTGTGCGCATATGTGTAATTAAACCCATGATATCAAAATCTCACTCCAGGCAGGTACCCAAAGTTGGCAACCCTGTAAATCAGTGATCACCAACTGGCGGCCCGCGGGCCACATCCGGCCCGCCAGACATTATCATCCGGCCCGCACGACGGGGGTGACTGTGGCGTTGGCGGAGTGGTTACTGCGTTCGCCTCCCACCCATTTTTTTTTTTTACAACGTCTCGTGAGTAAGGTGCAGTACCGGAATCCAACAGAGAGGCAGCAGCTGCGGGTCAGTAGACTGCGTACTGCGAAACCTTCCCTGCCTTGAACAATAATTGATCCTTCGTTGTGAAGAGTCTGGTTAATACGGTCCGCACCACAGCAGTAGCCCCGCTGCGACAGAGTCCAACAGAGAGGCAGGAGCTGCGGGACAGTAGCCTAGAAGCAGGGTTGGGTTGTAACGGAATACATGTAATGGCGTTACGTAATCAGAATACAAAAATCAAGTAGGCTAACTGTATTCAGCTGGCGTTACATTTGAAAAACGAGTAATCTGATTACAGTTACTTTCGTAAACCTGAAGTGAATACATTTTGGAATACCTATTGGAATTATTGGTGGAAAAGTTTCCTCACAAAATGTAATATTCATTACCGGCAGAACTGTGTGCGCACTGCACAGCGCTGCAGCATGTCTGTGAGCGAGAGAGAGATGCAGCCAGTGTTGCCAACTCCATAGTAAGGAAAGTAGCTATTGGCTGTTCGAAAAGTCGCCAGAAGTCGCTAAATGACGTCATCGCCTAATTTGCATATCATGTAATGGCGGCTGTAGGCAAAAAACGTTCCCAACCCTTCAAGGATCAAAACTTGAAACCACCGGAGTTAAATCCAGACGACAGTAGATCAGAAATGTCTTTGCCTTTTGAGTATGTTTTGGGGTTTTAACATGACAGTTTGGCATAGAAATCCCCCTTACAATAAAGGCAGTATGCCCGTGTGTCATCTCCAATAAATGGCTTCAACCATCCTTTATACTCAGGGTTTGATTCCCACTCCTTTCTGTATTTTTGAGAATACAATTTAGACTGTGCCATGATGTTTAGCTTGTCACAGAGAGGCACACACACAGTGGACGAGGTGATTGAGTGACTGAGGCTGTGTGAGGCAAAGGCAGTTATTTATTATAGTGTGAAAGTGAGTGAAGAAACATTTACATTCAACATTTAAATCCCGCTCAAAACCAGGACGGCTTGGCAGTTGGCGCATGCGCAATTCATTTGCAGTCTCGACGCGGGGGAGTGTGGTTGTCTCCTCTCTGCTCTGACTGCAGCAGCAGCTCTGCTGCGGCCAGGCAACTGTCAGTCTGAGCGCCTGTGAGTACTATGGGAGGGAGGCGGGGCTCACGGCAGCACCCGCGGCTCGTTAACTGCAGAACAATACGTGAGTCTCCAAACACCAGAAAAGTCGCTAATAACACCATTATAAATCGCTAGATTAGTCGTTAGTCGCTTTTGACACAAATAAAGTCGCCGGAGGGTTTGGAAATCCGCCAAATTTAACGAGAAAATCGCCAAGTTGGCAACACTGGATGCAGCGTGTCTGTGAGGCCCCGCCCCCGCACGCAGATGAGAAAGAGAGAGATCTCTTTTAAAATATATTGAAAGTTAGAAACGGAGATGGTTCGATAAAATGTGCAAAATAACGTTTATGGAGCATTTTCTTTATTGTCGAGATGATGACATTTATAACGGGATCAAATCAAAGTGAATGGCCTGCTGCTGCTGAATGCATGGGGCAAGTGACTGGAAAAAGTTTTTTTAATTATTACATCGTTTCAGATAATAAATAATAATGATAATTCATTCTATTTAGGGGCACCGTTCAAAGCACCCAAGGACACCTTACAATTCATAACATATTCCAAGGAAAGGTTTTAAGGCAGTACAAAGAATGCAGTCCGGGTGATGTTTTTTATGTGGGGTGCAGATGAGAGAGCTGTCCAGAATGACACCAAGATGTTGTGTTTGAGTTCTTGATAAGCCATTAAAACAGTAAAATAAGTGTCTCCTGTTCACCAAAACATACCCATCTGTTATGGAAAAAGAAAGTATTCCAAAAGTATTCTAAAAGTAATCTGAATACATTTTTAAGACACGTAACTGTAACTGTATTCTGATTACTTTCAGAGCATGTATTCAGTAACTGATTACATTTACAAAGTAACCCTCCCAACCCTGCCTAGAAGTGATCCTTCGTTAGCGTGAATAGTCTACTAAGCTTTATGCGGTCCACTGTACCTGAGCGTGTTCCACTAGCACCTTGTTAAAGTTATCTTATCTTAGCTATCTCTTATTTAGTGGAGGAAAACAATTGTGACATCAGTTATGACATCACTTACGCCACTCTGGGATTTGTAGTCTTTCTAGTTGCGTATTTTTCATAGTCTTATATTTCAACAGTTTTATGACAAACTGTGACTTTTTTGGCGTGGAAATTATTCTTTAAGATTGACAAACATCATATGTGTAATTCATGACACAATTCAAACGGGATCGAAAGATACATTTTCTCTCTCCATTGATTTCAATACATAATTTTTCTGAAATAAGGTCCCATGGACCGGAAGTAGATGGGCGTGACTTCGCCACTCTATGGAGCTCAAAGGCTTTCTCTCTTGACGGTTATACCACAAGGTGAGTTCCTTTTTATTTCCTGCTTCTTCACACACATGCTCTCTCCAGTACAGGTTAGCTCTGAGTGTTAGCGATGCTAATGTAAACACGACTATATTGCGTCCAAAGCCTCGCAGCGGCGAAACCGTGCCGTGCCCACACTAATTGCACCGCATTTGCGGCTCAGTTGAGGCTCCCTCCGCAAGATGACGCCCCCTCCGCAAGGTGAGGCCCCACGCAGTCTGCGTGATCTGGCTGTAGGGAGGGACAGACCTGGTTGTTAGATATAAAGATGTGGAAGGTAGTTGTGACTATCCAGCTGATTATTTGTTACATTTTGTCCCTACATTATTGAATTAATATCCCGGATGGTGCCCCTGGTTCTGAGGCTTCTAGTGGTAGTGAAGAGTCCCTTTTTGTGTACATAAATGCAGTTTGAGATACTTTAGGTGAGAGTATACAGTCACTTTTGGAGAAAAAAACTGTATAAATATAACATTGATTGATATTCTTTGTTTTACAGATTGAATTCATGAGCAACTAGAAAAATATACTCAGTAGACTCTTCCATTTGCATCTCCCCCTGACAGAAAATAGTTTAATCGTATTGAATTGAGTTGTACCTCCAGGGTTCCTACAGTCAAAATGACCATGCCTTGTTAGCAGTTCATTTTCTGATACTCCGGTTCAACACGAAACCATATTTTTTTTTATGAATGTCAGTATTTGAGTTGCGACAAAGGGCAAAATGTGGCCTGCAACAGGCTTTGTTTTTAGCTTAGCCAAATTACGGAATTGTCCTTTTTTCCTACTAAGGCCGCCAAATAAAATAATCGTTAATATAATGTTAATCACCACAACCACGAAAAGGCCTTGAGCATACAGTCATATAGAGCACAACACATATTAACTGATGGGTCCAATATTATTAAAGATTAGCTGCGGACAAAAAGACAGATACACACACACACAATTGGGCACACACAAATCTATTTAAGCCTGGCGGGAAATATTTAACACACCTTGCTCAAAGCAATACGCTGCCACAGCTTTACTTGGTCTTTTATATAACCATTAGCTTGAAGTAGCTAACGTTAGTCCAGGTTAGCAAACATGAGCTTGAATCAGTTCCTTGACTTGACAGTTGTTTTTAAACTTTTGCTGCTGTATGTCTTAGCATTTACTTTTATCCAGAAAGCATATGAAGCCTCTCTTGATTCTGTTTTGCTAAAGTTACATACTATGAACAACACCAAACCGTTATTAGAAAAAGCTACATTTTTGTTTTAACTGTCCAGAGTCCAAATGGGGGGAAAGTAATCCAAAGGCTAACTAAAACTAAAAAACTAAAGGCCCCTGCAGTGTACACCAGAGTCAACTATTAACTAAGTCCTTACTTAACCCATATCAACTAACTGGAAACATGGGAGGGTCCCTTTACTGTCTTTGTACAGTGTTTGGTTTTGTGATTAGGTTTACAGCTTCCTCGCTATCAGTGGCCCATCTTTTTCTCTGTCCCAGTGACCCATTTGTATACACATCACTGCTTGTTTATGACGAGACATAATTCAAACTGAAGCCTTCTATTCAAGCTTCATGTAAAATGCTGTTGTTTTCTTTTTTCAGCCCCTTTGTGTCTGGCTTAGCAATGTGTATCTTCAGCTCAACCGTCATCCACAATGCTGCCCTACCTGTTCTCAGTTTGAAAGGTAAATTAAACCTGATCTACCTGCCGTTTAAACTGGGGGTGGAGTGGGTGGACTGCTGCAGACAGTTTAACTGAACGTGAGACTGTTTGCTCAGGCAAAAAAACACCTGCAGCATGTACAGATAGCACATGTGTAAACACCACAGACAATGCAGGAAACGGCATACAGATACTTGATAATCCTTACTGAATATACGGAAAAATACTTAGTAAATGTCATTATGAATGTTGCAGCTGCTACTGGGCTTCAGTTAGATCACATCATGATGCACCTGCACCTGCATTTGTATTTTCTCATTAAATAGAGAAAAAATGGAAAGGAAATCTCCTTTATTATTTAAGATGAATTTAACAATCTTGTGTTTTTAGGAACATCTCTCTCACATTTCTTAAAGGTCCTTTTTTCTTAGAGCAAAGGTTCAGTTTACCTGTTTTATGAAGAAGATTTCAGATGATCCCTGTTTGATCTATCTGGCTCAGCTCACTCCCTTTGCACTCGAAAATGCATTTTGCTGCAGTCAAAGTCAACCGTCTTCCGAGAGGCCAGCAGGAAATTAGGGGTTTGTAATAGTGCCTCTTCCAAAGTCCTCCTCTGTACTGGTCTGCAAACTCTGCTGGAGTCACAGGTGTGTGTATATGTGTGTGGGTGTGTGCTCAGAGTCTGTGTTCAGTGTGAGCTCTGGGTCCTCCTTGCTCAGCGTCCGTTGCCCAGTATCACCTGCCCTGCTCTGTCAGCTCCCCTTTTAGCACTTTATGTAAATCTCTGCCTTGAGGTGGGGGGAGGAGGAAGGGGGAAAGAAGAAGCCCTGAAGAAATCAAGTAGAATACACATTCACGCCCTCTGACACCCCTCCTTGTGTCTTTCTATGTTGATCTCTTTTATTTTCCCTTCTTTCCTTTCAGTCCTCCCCTACCTCGCCTAAACACACACAGGCAAATACTCCTCACCTCCAGTCCAGTAAACAAACACATATAGAGTAATACATTTTTCAATTGACAGATACATTTCTTTTTGTCGACAATATCCCCCATCTGTTTTTTTAGTTTTGCTCAAATGTAAACTGAATGAGGCAGCAGGTCATATACTGGATATTAAACACAAAAGACACACAAACTACGCCGTCTTTGCATCCACCTGTATGCTTAAGCCGAACAATACATATAAAGGATTCATTTCCATTTAGTGAGTGATAAGGGAGCAGGTGGTTATACAGGAGTGTCTTCCCACAGAGTCACCACCCAATAGTCTGTTGTTTGCTACAGTGTTGCTGGTGTGCCTGTTACATCAGACTAGCCGTTCTGTTCCTAGAGGGTGAATCACAGGGGTTCATCCAAAATAGTGAACTCTTATTGATTGCATTTGTATTTAGAAGACTATCAGAATTGCTTTAGAAGGCAATGTGTCATGTTCCACCAAGCAGAGAAAATAACTTTTTTTTTTTTACAACTGCATTTCAGACTTGTATAATCATTCATTCATATTTAATTCAGGAGATAAACATGAAAATAACAAACGTACATCCAGAAGAAAAAGGCTCTTTCTCTCTTACCTAACATCAAGGATGTGAGTTAGACTTTTTATTTGACTACTAATTTTATTTTATGGTAATGACTAATGGCTCCGGGCCATTAGCTCTAGCATCTCTGCAATAACAGCTGCCTAACTGACTCTGTTATTTAGTAACCCAAACCCAAATGCCCTGCCCTATCATATCAGCAAAGTAATTTATTGAGCATAGAGTTGTGAGTGCTTTGAGGAAGGATAAGATATTCAATACAAACCTTTTTTATTCCCCTTCCTGGAATCCATGAACTTGGCTTTATAGTAAGCATGTCAAAGACTTAGTGGCTGACTGGCTGAGAGTAATAAGCTACGGTAAGTTATCTTGTTGGGGAGGGCTGCACGTGAGCATGGAAGGTGTGTGTGTGTAGGCAGGCCATAAAATGACACAATATTGACTGTTTCACCACTCTACTCAACAAGGAGATATTTACAAGGGCAAAACCATGTCGTTTTTCAGGGTAAAACATACAATCTTATGTCCGGGTTATAGAAGAAATATGAAGTACGGTTTGTCCACACTGGTTTGATGATAAGCCTTGTGTTGTATCTGTAATATTTAGTAAGGTTGGTCAGTATTTTCCAAGCCTTATTTGATGTGTTCAATAACTGATCAGTAGCCTACAAGTGTGGTCTTTAGAATGGCAATATTTTTAAAGATTCTGAAGACATTTTGAGTTTATTTGGCACACAAGGTTTTGCTTAAATAATTTGTACGTAAATGTTTCGTCCAGATTGACATATCTCAACCATTGGAAGGGTTGGCCTTTTGTTTTGTACTGACATTTATGCTCACCAAAAGATACATCTCGAAGACTTTGGTAACCCCATGACTTTACTTTAAGCACCACCAGGTCAAAACTTTCATTTGTGCAATACTCTGGTTTATCATCAAATTCCTTAAAAACAATGACCCATCAGGATCCGCTTGAGCATGTTAGCATTGCCATTGTGTGCAAGGTAGCATGCCAATGTTAGCAGTAGGCACAACTCTGTCTAAAGCCCCGGCTACACGAGGACGATAACGGTCGTATCTGCTACGGTTCACTATCAGATAGACGGTTCGGCCACACGAGGCCCACATGGAAACGCAGAAAACGATAACGGGTCCCAAAGTGGGTATCTGCAAACGAAACAGCAGGAGCACTATGGCGTTATATTTGTGCCTCTATCCTGAGCATGCAATGAAACATGTTGAGCATAGAAAATGCGATTGAGCGCGCACTTGAACATTTTTGAGCACAGAGAAATATATTATCTCTCATAAAACTCCTGCTCCGTGCGCAAGCAGACCGCTGCACGCTCTCTCTCTCCCTCGCTCGCTCGACCTCTCCAGCCTGTGCGCGCTCAGCTTTGCCTGCGCTCGCTCAAGTTGTCACAGCGTTACAAATGTGCCACAAAACCAACCAATCGGAGAACTCGAGAAGGTCAATTCTGATTGGCTGGTCGTCTCCAATCATATTTTCTATCTGAGATGAGAGAGGGATTTTCGGTTGCCATCGGGCTGTTGACGTTCTTATTACACATCCGTCGTTGACATTTACAGGACATGACAGACTCGAATGAAGAGAATAGCACGCCACAGTGTCAGGTGAGTTATACATTTCTAGTTTTCTGATATCACGTTATTGTCAATGCCTGAGTTTGCTAGCTGGCAACATAGCTATAGGGGTAGTTTAAGCAAACCGCTAACAAACCATAGCCTACATACATGAACCCTTCTGAGGTATTGATTACTTGCTGTAAGGTAAGCATTAGAGGTGGCAGAATGACAAAACATGTTTCTCTCTCTATCACAATTTTGGGTTGACCAGAACCTGGACCAACTTCTGTTCCCTGTTCTACAATGGGCATAGAGCTTGCGCTGTGACAATTTGAGCGAGCGCAGGCAAAGCTGAGCGCGCACAGGCTGGAGAGGTCGAGCGAGCGAGGGAGAGAGAGCGCGTGCAGCGGTCTGCTTGCGCACGGAGCAGGAGTTTTATGAGAGAAAATATATTTCTCTGTGCTCAAAAATGTTCAAGTGCGTGCTCAATAGCATTTTCTATGCTCAACATTTTTCATTGCGTGCTCAGGATAGAGGCACAAATATAACGCCATATAGCACACGCCGTCCACCGCGGAGAATAAACAGAAGGGCAACCATGCTCCGGGGTATTCTTCTCTGCTTTTGGTGTATTTTGTGGCGGCAGCAGCGCCACTTACAGGCCCGGCATATGTACTACAGCGTTTCCAGCGAGTCGAGCGGTCTCGTGTGAATGGACACGTTAATTGAGCCGAATGCGTGTGAACGGAAGACTTTTTTGAAAACGAATTCGGTGCGTAAACGCAAACGTACCCGTTTCGTCCTCGTGTAAATGGGGCCTAAATGTAAAGCTGCTAACATGACTCTTATTCTTGCTACAAAATCCCCCAGGTTTCAGCTGAAGGTTTAGTGTCTCATATTGGACAGAGGTGTTTCCATCCCACAGGACAGAAATAGGCCGTTGTTGTCTTTACATTTTTGCCCTTCCACTTGCAGTGTTGAATTTAAATTGGTTACATTTGGTTGACAGATGATGAATGCAAATCTTTCTTTGCGATTCTTTAAGCAGTAAGATGCTGGTGCGTACAGAGGCAGCGGCCCAACATGGTTTTAATTGCTCAATCAAAGGTAACAAAAAGAAAACCATTCTTTGGTTCTAGCCGAACATACTAACAATGTGTATCTCCTTTTCACTAGATGACATGTTTTTATGTTCATGATTATTTACTAAGACAGTTTTAGATGTAATTTAAATACTAATATATAGTGAATATAATGCGTAACAGTGGGATTTCCCGTGATAATGGTTGAAACACTGAAGCTACTGTAGCTGTAGGAAGACTTGTTAGCTGATACAGGGAAATCGGAGAGCACATACACTTCAAGGTGCCTCTTTCCACCTTCCAACGCCTACCTGCTTTTCAGCAACCATCGGCAGAATTACATCAGTTTTTCCAATGTGACAAGCTCTGACAAGAAAGTCTTTTTGTGGATTTTGAAGACCGGTAGAATGGGTTCTAGTTAGCACCCAGCATACACTTCCTGTCTTTGTCCTCTATTGACTGTCAACAAGCAGTGTGCCAGAGTGGAGATAAGGTCACTGTTGAACTTTACAAGTGTTTGGCTTGTCTATTCTGAGCAATCCTATGTCCTTTTCAGTAGATTACGTATTCCAATTCTCATTCAATTCATGAAACACTAAAAAAAATAAGCTAGCTGAAGCATTTTAGCTTATGCAGGGCTTCTGGGGTGATGAGATAACCAGACACTTTGAAGTACATATACTGTAGTACATCTCAGAAATCATCAGCATCATTATCTTCTAATGTTACAGCCTCTGGCCAGGGAGTGTTTTTTCTATATTTTCTAAACCTCGAAATGGGCATATTGGTTCTTGTAGCAAGCACCCAAAATACTCACTGTCTGCCTCTTCTCTTTACCGTCAACAAGTTAGCTGCCGCTTGGGAAGAAGGTCACTGTTGAACTTAAATAAAAAAGCCCACATCCATTAAATGCCATGGGTGAGATTTGAAAGGCCGAAATGCATTTTAGTAAAACGAAGAGTTTAGTTTTGGGGTGACTGTAATCTTTTTTAAACTAAAGGTTAAGGGCTCAGTGCTAGCAATACTGCAGATGCTGTTATTTTTGCACTCAAATATTTGTAATTCTACCATTTTAGTTTATATTTAAGCCTCTATTTGAGATGTATTGCAATATATCACATAGCTTATTAACTGTACTTCAAATGTAATAATACTTTATGAGACTTCACATTAGAATTGGATCCAGTCACTTATTCCTAAGAGAACAGAGTCATGTCAAGGACTTCAAAACAATGGATTATAAACTAATAAATATTGAATCACAATTTTAATAAGGTCAACATTATAGTTTACTGTAAGCTCAGGTCACTAATTTATCTTTTTGGCCCACATCCGCAAACACTCAAGTTCTATTTCAAAATATCTTCCGCCCTGACTGTAGTGCTCTCTGTGTTTTCTTGCCAAGTCATCCCGGGAAGTGGGAAGTATTATTCATTTACAGGGTCAGCCTCACATTATGATTATCATTATGAGTCATCAGATCATGCTACAGTATATTATTGTTTGGTCTGTGATGGTCATATCCG